ACAGTGTGTGGTGTTTGCATGCTGTCGGAAAGAAGTCCGTTTGAAAGTTGACATCTCAAGGTAGCAGAATTAATGTAGAATCAGGCTGCATTATGATTGATTTTAAAAACCTCCTTAAGTAATCTTATCTAAATGAAAACGCAATTCAGATCTCCGGTTAACATTTCATGAGTTTGCGGACCTACTGCACCATATTCTATCTTAATCCAACGAGTGGCTGTGTCGCGGGGATTCTGTACACGCCACCCTCGGTTACACCGGGCATTGGCTCACACGCGCTTCCTTGCGTGGGCCTCGAGTTCGACCTGCGTTTTCTTCCCCTTTCTTATCCAGTATTAGATAAAATTGTTTTAGGAAACTATCCATTTGGTATCAATCAGGTGGAGCTGCAAGACCAAACCACTTCGGGACAGCATTTTAGTGAATGTAAATATACCGATGGATACTAGCAGCCAAATAGGCCAAAACCCACCAGTCTAGTGAACATCGGTTGCGCAATCCCACAGAAATGTAGATGACAAACACTTGCGGAGTTTGTCTTATCGACTTTCATTCGAACGCAAACATGTATTCCTTCGGCAAATATAAACGGTGAAGACAGAAGAAAATGTCCTCTTGCGTAACAACACAAATACAGTTCGACCGTCGTTGCCGACGTTGTCCACCGTGTGCTTCACAGCGAGGTGAAGCAGGGACGATGACTTGCGCGTGAATTAGTTTATAGTGATGGTAGACTTGCACGCATTTGCCACACTCCCTTCTCCTCCCCCACCTAACCTCGGTGTCAAGGCAGAGTCAAGAGGACCGTAGACGGGAGAGGGCGCAGGTGGATGGCACGGTCGAGCCCGCACCTTGGCGCTCTACTCCATACCCCCTGGTCCACAACAAGCACTGGACAGGAATTTCGACAAACAATAACAATAGGGGGGGGGGGCGCCAGGCGCCTCAAGGGTCGGCAACCGGGTCTGCCACCGCACCCGAAATGCTGGCATTAGTTATGGTGCGTAATCTGACAACGCCTGCTGGAATCCGGTATCGCCCTCGCGTTGGTCCAGCGCATCTACCACGTGGCCCGTTTTGGGGGCAAGACAAAGCAAAGCATGTACAATTAATGACCTTTGTGACGAATTGTTGTCTAGAAATATGGATGTGATTTTGGCTAGAAAGGTGTTCTTAGGTGGGTTAAGCTACTGGTTAATATACAGCATAATCTGAAAATTCTTCGATTACGCCAGGATGCTTATTGTTTAATGAGAGATTTTTGGTAGTCGCCCTCAACTAAAAACTATAAAAATGACAAGTAAGTTATTTTTTCACTGAATTTCAGGGTATGCAGAAACAATAGAGGGCACTCACCGATCACGTTAAGGAATCCGATAGTTGCGTTGTGCTTTGAGACTCGATTTAGAGCCACGCAGGCAGTCGCTCAGCGGCAAGTAATATAAGTAGAAGGAGATTACCGAGAAACACGGATTCAGTCTCCCGAACGCTAAGCCTGGGAATGGGTGTGGTTGGCGATGACGGTGATCTCAATCTGCATATAATACTAGTCATTATACGACTACCTGCGAGGCTCTACACCGAGCCCCGAAGCACGACGGAAACAGCAGGTTCTGTAATGGGATCGGTTAAAGCCCCCCACTATAGTTGATATGCCGGATCACGACCGACAGGACAATAAACCCCTGACGAAATGATTAAGGGCGCTTGACTTGTAACCAAGAGGCCTGGGATCGGCTCTCAAGTGCGGTAAGCCAAAGGTCAGGCATCGTTGGCAGACGATGTCTATTCTAACCGTCCTTGTATTTGTCGGTAATCTTCGTTCAAATACCTTTTTGTTTATTGCTTTGGATAATTACAACGTTTTCATATTCCCAAGGCAGAAGATACATGTTCTAGTTTAAATTTCCCTTAATTTCCGATCTGCCGTTGTACATGCGTTTAGATGTTATATTCTGCAACCTGTTCGCTTTGCATTTAGGCAGTATAATATAAGCCATCGTGATATTAAGAAGATACAATACAGGTTTCGAAAAATTATGCAATGGACTTGGGACGTTACTAGGCGAAAAGATGCGATGTTATGCGAATATATATTTCCCAACCCTTTTAAATCCTCAAAATTACCACCCTTTTTAAATCAGAAAGGCAAATGTCCTTGTGCAGAACTTCCGAAGGAACTATCGTTTTCTACATACAGAGTAGAAGCTATTATAGCGTTGTCTGTTAGATCAGTGGAAGAATTTATGGTAGGGGGCGCTCACCGATCTTTCTTACGGAACTCACGCGTTCTGTTGTGCCTTGAGGGCTCTCCCTCTCGAGCCCAACCAGCAGCCGCACAGCGGCGCATGATATAGGCAGAATGATGTTAATAAGCCAGAAATGGCCATTCCATTCTCCCTTGTCTTTGTCGGTAATAACATTCTGCTTATATATCATGCGCCGCTGTGCGGTTGCTGGTCGGGCTCGAGAGGGAGAGCCCCCAAGGCACAACGGAACGCGTGAGTTCCGTAAGAACGATCGGTGAGCGTCCCCTTCCATTGTATATTCCCGATCGAAAACCGACAGGGCAACGGGCCCATGGCCCGGTGGTTAGAGATGTTGACTTCTAGCAAACAGGTCGCGGGTTCGAGCCTCGGGTGTGCCACACTTTGGGTTGGGTATGACTGGCTGACGACGGCTAATAAGCCAGAAGTGGCCATTGCAGTCTTCCTTATATTTGTCGGAAATATCATTCCGGAAGAATTTATTTTATACAAATAGGCATCTTTGGAGAGTTTGCTTTCTGGGAGCGGTCAAATCTAAGCGCATTAAAATAACCGACATTGTGGCGTTACTGAGTGCTTGGGATCCTACTACAGATGATCAATTCTCCACCCACCACCAAAGTGATCCCTTCTCATCGAAAAGGCTTTTCAGAATTCGGCCAGCGTTTGCTGAGGGCACTTTACCTGCTGCATTTATGGATTGATTTTTTACTGGGCATCTATGAGACTGCACATTTATCGCACTGTTCACTCACAGGGCGCACTTTCATTCCACCTCGACCAAAAACGCAAGTCAGATATACGCCCATCTAAAATGTTTGTCAGCTCTGTAGGAGGATAATATGCAAAAGCAGGTGGGTTTTCTTTCTTTTATGAGCATATTAACGTCACCCATAGCCTCGCGCAGTCAGCATCTCCTTCCGTCATAAGTGCAAATACTTTTTTGATATCATCAGATTTTGCGACGCGTGATAGCCCATCAGAAAAAACTTAGAACTCACGAGCCGGAAGTTATTATCTTTTTCAAGCATTCCCAAAAATGTGTCACCTGGCTGCGTTGCGGGGGTGGATAGACTGAGACCGGCGTGCTTTTCCTGGTGTGCGACCGCTTAAATTAGATTGGACGAGAGCGCATGTCATACAGCGGAGAGTCGCTACTGCGCTGAAAGTGATTGCCGTTTGTTAGAAACCCAAGACGTGTGACAGTTTATTCGAAACATGGGTGGGATGCCTTGGCTCTGCTGGAGAATTATGGAGGACCTTATTGCCCTGGTACCGGGTACATGACCAAATATTTCTTGCGTATAACTCCTTCACTAGTTGCGGCTGTGGCACTTGGCGTCCTGTTCATTCAACCCTTCCACCGTGGCTTTTTTCTCAATGATACAAGTCTGTCCTATCCTTACCGATCCTCCACGGTATCGACACTGGTACTCAGTCTGGTAGCCCCAAGTATTGCGGTTGTTATGGTAGCATTTTTGAAAATTTTGCTTTTAACATGATCTTGCCAGATCATCATTGTGGAGGTTTTGCGCGGAAAAACTTATGGTCTGAGTAGGAAGTTCCGGGGAGCTTTTTTGGTAAATTTTGAGTTAATTTTACCAACACACAGCCGTAGGTCGGTCTCTGTGTGTACAAGTATATATATCTTCTGGCATTGGGTTTTGCAATAACAGGAGTTCTGGTCAATGTTGGAAAGGTGGTGATTGGAAGACTGAGGCCTCACTTTTTCGCGGTCTGCCAACCGCAGGACTTTACCGCAGTTCCGGATGTGTATATCACACAGTATAAATGTGGAGGAACAGATAAGGAGAGGCTGGAGGATGTGAGGTATGTTTTTTATCATTTACATGTACACGAATGGGATTCTATCTCTAGTATAAAAACATATAAAGGGAGAGAATTTACTGCCGATATGATACTTTCAGTATAAAAGATTGTGGTATTCGAACACGCAGAATGCACCCTGATGTCGCATCATTTGCTATATGCCCCAGTGAGTAGTTGATTTGACACTGTGCATGTGGTAATACTTTTCGTAGAGCAGTAGAATAAGTCGTTATAATAAGAATTATTCTATAGAGAGTGATTTTTTTAGAAAAACTCTACTAATTCGCATCATATATACAAATCATATATTAGATTCAGTTGTTCTTTAAATTACTCAGACTTTCATTCCCATCTGGGCATTCTGGATTCGCTATGTACACGGCTGTATTTATTGCGGTAAGTGGTAGAATATTATTGATGAAATTTTCTAGAACCCACTGACATTTGTAAATGATGTTAATATCTTTACGATGACAATGACGAACAGGAGTCATAAATATTTTTGAAAACGAAATTACAACAAATGTTTTGAAGTCAGTAGGCTTAGTGATACGAAGGCGGTTTATGGCGTTATGATGTTTACTTCACAATCATACTGTTACTGTTTACTATGTTCTTACTTAAATCGCTTGTTGCACACAAGCAAAATGGTGCCCCTCAACATACCCATGATTTTCCTGAAACAAATTTCATTGCCGTAAAGGCGTGCTTAGGGAGAAAGAAGAACTGACTCTTCGATGTTTTTTGCCTTCATTAGATCTATCTGTACTATCGGGTCCCACGGATGGCCATCGGAATAGCATTACGGAATCTCTTTCAGATCGCGGCACTTTCCTTGGGAACATACGTGTCAATTACGCGAATTTCTGACTACAAGCACCACCCGACTGATGTGCTCGCGGGGATCGTTCTTGGCACACTCGTAGCAGTCTACACGGTTGGTACCGTTCTGTTTAACGCAATTTTCAGTTCGCCAAAACCTTTTTTGCATCTTTGTGGTGCATATGACTTGATCACGTGCGACCAAAATCTCAGAGGTGTAAAAAACTTTCATCGCAGCACACAACAAGCAGCCTTTTTAAGGTGAAATATCTGAATATATAGCTAAGCCTGTGTCTGAGTGAAAAGAGGCAAAATTAGCCCTGTAAGCGACGGGTTTCAGAGTGAATAAAGTGTGAAAACGAGTTGGTGAGTAAGCGTTTGTTTTTTGGCAAATCCTCGCTAGGCCAGTACATATACAACGGGACGGAGTACAATTCAGACATGTCACTGATTAGATAAATCGTTGAAAGTTAGTTTTAAAACACAGTCGGGGTGAGAGCGGAAGGGCGTGGAAAGTTGCATGCGACTAGGCAACCTGACGGGTTTATTTTAAAGAACATTGTCGAGCAACTGGCAAGACACATCACACTAAATTTCGAAAAGAAAACTTTGTCTCGCAAAGTTCCTTTTCAAGGAGACGCTGCGAGTAATATCCTGAGAAGACGCCTTGATCAGGCTGTCTTGCGAACCTTCCCAGCAGCAAAGGATCGAATTTTATTTTCTACTATCCCTTTTTTGCATGAAGAAGGAAAGAATAGGTTGCCACCTCAGTGAGCAGCTATTCCTTCACGTGGTCCTGTGGAGCAGGTTATATTGGTCGTACGAGTCGGCATCTATCCAAAAAACCACTAGAACATCTCCCCTCATGGCCGGCAAAAGATAAAACCAGGAGCATAAACAGCGCCATTGTTGCGCATGAAATTGATTCAGGGCATCGTGCGGGCCCCGGCGAAGCTTTACATGTAATTTATAAGGTCCCCTTGAGCTCCCCTAAGCTAATAGGCCAGTGTCTGTTGGCAACATCAGAAGCGGGCGCAGTCAGGTTACGAACCTCGTTCAGGCTCCGGATTTACTGTGGCCAAAGGTGAACCAACCACATGTAACTCCCGCGCCCTTCCGCTCTCACATGGCCGGTGCTTTGAAACGATTTATTTAATCAACGTCAAGTTTTACTGTATCACGTTCTCATAAAATTGTACTGGCTTGAGGAGAATTTGCCGAAAGCAACGTATGCTCTCCAAGTCGTTTTCTGAATTCTGCAATGGGCAGAAAACTAACCGCATTAATAATTATATCCGATCGCATTGGGTAACGCTTTGCACAGACTTAATTCCTCAGTGCGTGTCTGTAGTACTAAAGAATACTCGAATCTATACCTGCTTACCCGGGTGTACAAGCCTGCTAACGAAAGAGACTGTTAGATCCTAAGGTGACTCTATCGTGACCCACGAGCATCAGCCTGGATTGAGACAACATTTAGTATCAAGTGACGACTCCATTACCACAAGTGCTATGGAAAGACAGATCGGAAGGGTATGGTTTATTGCCAGGGTTACTTACTCAAGGGGAGCAGTTGTACTAAAAGGCTAGGCTAAGTATTAGGGTTAGAGAAAGGGTTTGGTTTGGGGTTAGGTTTAGATTTGCCTGCCGCATATCGCCTTACGGAATCTGGCATTTTTAATAAATAATTTTGGATTACAGGCTCTCCGCCTGTTTACGCGCCCCCAATTCGCATCTTTCAAGCAATGGGGTCTGTTCCGGCAACCTGATGGAGCAGTAAAACAAAGTATGGTAGAAATATGACTTCGCAATGCCTTCCACAAATCCATTAATAGCCACTTCCATCTACCCTACTGATAAAGCTAATATAAACACTCTTCATGTATTGCAGGAGTCGCTGAGCTTCATCGCTTCGGGGGGCTTACATATCCAACCCTTGCCGTGAATTACGCCCCTACCCTCATGAAGCGGAGGCTTATTTCGCAAGCACAATACACTTGAAGATCTCTTCGGGAGCAAAATTATTCATGGGATACTTCAGACCTAATAGTGGAAAAATCACCGGCCTAAGGTCTGGCGAATCATCTAAATCTGTCAACGCCAGAGTTAATTTAAAAGAGATCGGTCTGGTTGATGAGAAAAAAGTGTTGTCCGTCGCTGGAAGATCGAGAGCCGCTGGCTGACCAGGTCGCCATATTTTGCCAAGCCTAATTTGGATCCTGAGATGAATCCACCGTGACCCACAAACATCAGCCTGGATTGAGACAACATTTAGTAGCAAGTGACGACTCGAACACCACACGTGCTTTGGAAAGACAGCTAGGAAGGGTATGGTTTATGGCCAGGGTTACTTACTCCGGGGAGCAGTTGTACTAAAAAAATAATTGGCCGCATTTATTTGTATGTGCCAGAGAAAGAAATGAAGATATCTCGCGGTGGCTGTTTCGTGAGTCTGGTCAAGATGTTTTGAGGTAGTTATCGGAGTAAAAATATGAAAATGTAATACCTTTTTGACAGTGTCTGCAAAGGGACGTTAATTTCGTTTGTCATCATCATTGAATGGTAAAAATATTGTCCCTTTTAATTGGCGACATTATGAGGGATCGAAATTTGGGAAACCACAAATTTCTTAGATGCTCAGCTCTTTTGCTCATTAGCGCTGCTCCCCGGAGAAAGTAACCCCGTCTAGAAATCATACCCCTATCGACAGCTCTAGCGCTAACTAAGTGACTTTAAGAACAGCAACGAGCGGTGAGTTGAGGTCGACAAACCTGCGAGTAAGTAGTAGTATGCCTTTGACTTTGATGGTACAATGCTTGTCTGTCGAGGGGGCTAGGAGGCACCAACTTGTATTTTGGTTTCCAACGTGTTTGTCAAATTCCGCATTAGTGCCCATAACGAAACAGTTGGATTCAGAGCGGTAAAATTGTCGCAATCACCAGAAACGGCTTACAAGGCTTGCGCTTCCAAGATTCCCACCCACGTACTAGAAGCGTGCAGTTCTAATCGAATCAACGACGAATGTAAGAAAGACACCACTGATCACCGATCGGCAACGCAGTCTTCGATCGTTGAGTCAGTAACGCGTACGCGGTGATGCAGCCTGACGTGTGAATTTGCCGTTATTGACTATGCTGTAAATAACAGCTATCTGCTGCGTACTTTCACTAAACAGTGAGCCTAAACCTGAGGAGATTTGCATACGTCGGTAACGGTAGGGTTTATGACCCACAAGTAGATGGCACCTACAAAAATATAACCTAAAATCCACTGTGACTGTAAACACCACCTGCTGTTCGCCGTTCGCACTGTTTGGAATTTCCTTCCCTTCCTGACTACCTGTAAACTCATCAGCGGCGTTTTTTAAAAAGTTCGTTAATTTTTGAAAATTGCTCTTTGTTATTTTTCATTTTCTTGTTCCTTTACTTTGCAAAATGACAGCGTACGATAAGACTTTCGGCAGAAGTTTATCTATTTCCTGTGTCTTTTTCTTCTCCGTCCTGTATGTTATCCCACCCGTAAAACCCCCTCCACCACCATTCAACGTATGACACGGTCCACAGGCTAGTTGAAGTTAGTTGGAGATCCTAAAGCCTATCGTTACTCATACATATCCGACAGATCTATTTTTTGCAGCAGACTCATTTTGAGACTCTGGATATTGTCTTTATTTACGTGTGCTTTATCCTCAGCGGTAGATGTGCACAATGAGCGACTAAATTTTACAAGAAAAACAACTAGTGCACTTGAAAAGGCACTAGGGTCGTCATTAGATGGACATTTGCATTTATTAATACGACTTTCGTGTTTGAACCTTGCAGCTAGTCTTTGCAACACAAAAGGATGAGTTTGAGGACGAAACCGTGGAAGAAGAAAGTTCACTTGACGAAGTCAAATCAGTATGAATTGCCATCTTTCAAGTATGGAATTGTACCCGTTTGTTTTTTTCCACATCACCTTATTTCACCTTGATGCTCTCTAATGTAATTTATCACCAATTTTCTTTTTTTATGCGTTCATGCTTCCCCTCCAATGCTGCATTGTGCAATTGTTTAACAAAAACACTCTCGGTGAAAAGTGGGTGTGGGTTTTATGTCCAGGGGCTTAATAAACGGCATATCATCTTCCGTCTGTTGTTCTGGGATGTTCCCGCCCTGTGTGCTGAGATTTGGTTGCTGTTCGAGGCCCCTGGGCGACAGGGATGTCTCGAAACGGTAACCAAGGTGTAATACGTGTTGGGACGCTTGGCCTTCTTGGTACGGATACTGCGCGTATTCATAGTCGTCCTTATTAGCTTGGGTGCATCTTTTCCTTACTGCGTATTGGATGGTCGGGGACTCCGCATTCGTTTCATTGCCCTGCAGTTGCGATGTTCTGCGAAGTGCAGGCCAAGATGTCGGCTTTTAAATGCACCTTTTTGACCTGCTACAGAACGCGCGCTGGGTAGAAAATAACCACTTAAGTAGCATGTATTTTTCACATTAATTTTCGATGGTCTTGTTTATTGAAATATATTTTATAGAAAACCTCCACAAAGTATGCTTTCTTTTACTCGTTAAGTAGGGAATCACATTGTCTTCACATTTTACGCCCGAAGAAAGGGCATCTTTAGGTTTTAAAAAAGTTTCTAATCATGAGATTTCTTAAAATCGTGCAATGTTCATTCATTCAGCCTCGTACTTGTACGTTTGCCAATGCTTATCATAAAATGTACAACGTAGTTCGCACTCATTGCAAGATTTTTGAACTCTATATGGCATCTTTTTAAAGACGTAGAGAAGTATATGGTTTTCCTCAAGCGGAAAGCATGCATCGTGTAGACCGAAACCCCGAAACGCTAACGCAACGGCTGTTCAGGCTCAAAATTACTCGGGAATCGAGAAACATTTTAAAAACTTAAATATATTCGTTCATCGGACATAAAATGTGAAACCAGTGTGATTCCCTACTAAATGAGTAAAAGAAAGCATACTTTATGAATGTTTTCTATAAAATATATTTCAGTTTATAACACCATCGAAAATTAATGTGAAAAATGCATGCTACTTAAGTAATCATTTTTAATGAGTGCTACTTCGATGGGAGGTCGAAAAGAGATGCATTTAAAAGCCGGCATCTTGATGCGTTTAAAATATTATGGGATTGTGCCGCGTGAGGATTACTATTACAACCATACCTACAGTGAGTAACCTATCTCATGAAATGTTGGCTGAAATTCTGAAATGCGTTTTCGATTAGGAAAGATTACTTGGCCGCGGTTGTAATACTGACTGTCTTGCGGCATACTCTTATAACATTTCGGACTCGGCAGGATGTCGGCTTTTAAACGCATTTCTTTTTAATCTCTTGTGGAAAGCGTACTCGGTACAAAATGATTACTTAATTAGCAGGTATTTTTCCCATTAATTTTCGATGGTCTTGCAAATTTAAATATATTTTATAGAAACCATGAATAAAAATATGCTTTCTTTTAGTCAATCAATAGAGAATCACGTTTTCTTTATAGTTTATACTTAAGGAAGAATTATTATTAGGTTTCAAAAAAGTTTCTTATTACGAGACTTTCTAAGACCGCGAAATGTCAATTCACATAGCATCGTACCTGGACGTTTACCACTGCTCCTCATGAAATGAACAACATGGTCCGCATCCATTGCAAAATTTTATGGACTCTGTATGCTATCTCTTTAATGGCATAGAAAAATATGTGATTTTCCTTACGCGGAACTCATGCACCTTGCAGACTGAAATTACTATGCGCTAATGCAACGAAGGATCAGGCTCCAAATTATTCGGCAATTGGAAAACATTTTTAAAACCAAATTATAATCCTTTCTTGAGTATGAAATATAAAGAAGACGTGATTATCTATTGATTGAGTAAAAGAAAGCATATTTTTATTCATGGTTTCTATAAAATATATTTAAATTGGCAAGACCATCGAAAATCAATGGGAAAAATGTCTGCCACTTAAGTAATCATTTTTTACCGAGTACGCTTTCTACAAGAGATTGAAAAGAAATGCATTTAAAAGCCGACATCCTGCTGAGTCCGAAATGTTATAAGAGTATGCCGCAAGATAGTTAGTATTACAAACGCGACCAAGTAATCTTTCCTAATCCAAAACGCATTTCAGAATTTCAGCCAACATTTCATGAGATAGGTCACTCACTGTAAGTAATTCTTCCTAACTGAAAACACTTTTTAGAATATCTGCTAGCATTTCATGAGATCGGCCACTCACTGTACTCTGATGTTCGTTTCGTTGCCTTGCTGTTGCGATGTTCTGTGAAGTGCAGGCACTCAACCGTATTTATGGGAGCTCAAGATGGTCGTTTTGGAGACATTTCATTTGATAGTATAGACTGACGACAAAAGTTGGAAGACTAGTGTTAGGAATCATTTGTAAAGCGGGATATAATACGACCGGAACGAAATTTATACTCACCTGGATCTTCGGATCTCACCTGAACGCAGTTACAGGTAAGAGCGGTAGACGTTCAAGGGGCGCAATTTATATGATTCCACATGCTTGCCATAATTAACAGCTCCCACATACACCGCCGACTGTTCTAATTAGTGCATGGTTGCTTGTTCTTTCACACCCGAATCGCCGTACTTTCATCACTTTTGTTGATTAGCGACATGGTAATGAGTCAGCTCTTGAACTCGCTAATATCCTCTCTGGTGTGGTTTTTCTCGTTCCCTCCCTCCGCGTGGTCAGAAGGAAGCACCTGTTTTATGATCGTATGGAATTCCGCAAGCCGTTCCTCTGAGGTCTTGAAGCGCGACCCAGTGCACAGGCCTCGTTTCTCCGAATCTCAACAGACAAAAGGACGAGATTAGTCCCATTGGTTAGGAGGCCCTATGCCAGCGATCATTTTTACGGAACTCACTCGTCCCCTTTGTGCCTTACGGGCGCCCTCTCGAGCTCAACCAGCAGCCGCACAGCGATGCATGATATAGGCAGAATAGCATTACTGACAAAGACAAGGGAGACTGGAATGGCCATTTCTGGCCTATTAGCCGTCGTCAGCCAGTCATACCCAACCCCAGAGTGTGGAACATCCGGAGCTCGATCCCGCGACCTGTTAATTAGAAGTCCAACCCCTTTAGCTACTAAGCCACGGGCTCGTTGTCGTGTCGGTTACGATCGGAATGTACAATAGTCGAGGGATCGAGCCCCAGGTTATCCACACTTCGGGGCTGGCTATGACTTCGGGGCCGGCTATGACTAGCTGACGGCGACTGATAAGCCAGAAATGACGATCCCAGTCTTCCTTATCTTTGTCGGTACTACCATTATCGTCAGTGTTAGCAATCGAAAGCAAGCTCCCGTTAGAATGGAGAACAGCGAGAACATGCAGAAAGACGACAAGACTGCGTGAAATCAGTGGCGTTTTCTAGAGGTGTAGCGTCCCTAAAACAAACCCACTAGTCGCCAGTAGTGTATTAATCATCCCCATTCCTCCTCACTTAGCAGAACGGATTTAGAAAAAAAGAACAGCGAAAAACACTTTCAGGCGTTGAGAGTACGCAAGGCTCGACTAGAGAAAACAGATTGGACGTCGCTCAGTGGTGCTTGGTAGGGACGCTCTGCTTGAGGGGTATGCGGCCAGGTGGATGTCAGTCAACATAAAGCTGTTCAAAAAAGATTACATGAGCGTCGCAGTCGAGACCACTTGCGAGTCTTTTGCCTGCACGCAAGAGTACATGCAGGGGTTGTGGAGAGAGTGACTACAGCAACTAGCGTCAGTTACTCAAGTCTGCAGTAACATAGAAACAGTCTAGAAATTTCGCGTCTCCGACAAGGATCGACATGTGGCCGTGTGCGGGTAGGGTACAACGCAGACGTGAGGCACTGTTTCACATACTAGCGCCTGCTTGGCGCTGTTTCGACTGAAACGCGCAAGATGGCTTTACAAAGTAGCACGGCCGCGAAGCAGTCCCATGCAGCTCCGTTTTGTGAACCAAACATGACAAAAAGCGGCTAACCTGGCCCAGGGACTGATTGGTTGGCCACGGAAGTAGGTAGCCGGCAGACCATAGGTGGCCTTGTGCTCTATTCCGGTAGGGAAGCACATTCCCTTGGTCTAAATGTGACTCTAACCTTAATCCAACCCTAACTGTCACCGAAATGTATCGTAAGGCCACGTGTAAAACGGGAGGTTCTTATAAACCTTGTGCTACCGGTTGGTTTGAACAGTGAGAAAGATCGACTCAACCGTTATGGAAGGTATGTAGTGGCTAGGCGGTGCGAGTGGGTAGTCAGAACGCTGCAATCACCAGGCCAAATCCCGCGTTGCAGGAAAAGACAGAAGCCATCAGAATGAAGGGTTTATTGTTTACAGAAACCGCGTTTGTCCCCTCAGTCAGACTTGGTAGCCGCTGGCGAGGATAGGGCTAGCGTTGACTGTGTCCAGTCGGGTCTGTGAGTCCGTAAGACAGTGGTGACAACTGTTTTGCTAGATTAGCGCGGCAATCTGAAGTGGTTTCAAATCCGTGTGTTGAATTTGCCAAGGGGTAGCGTTTTCTGTGGGTTTTGT